CTCGCGACAGACTAATCGGCGGCGCGCTGTTCGATGGTCCACAATAGTGCATATAGCCCCGCGACTTGTACCGGAAAGCTTTACATTCTCTACGCCTCACGGGCTGAACGCTCCTCTCACTGGAAAACCAACTGCTCTCGCTGCTTCCTGCCGATCAAATGGCCGAAAGCGCGACCGCAGTACCTCGGTTCGCGGGGTCACGTGATCCTCCCCCGCTCATTTCGAGACTTTAGGGCCCCAGGAATCACGCGATAGTTTTCACCAACTGCGGTGACTCGCGAGCCGTTGAAAGCGTATATACAAAAAGATTCCCCGATCCGGGAGTTCTCTGAATTTTAGACCTGTGAGCAAAGCGGCGTCGGGGCACACGGTGGGGTACGGCGGAATTTCACAGACTTCTGCGGGGTGCACCTCGAAACAATAACTGCCTTTCACATCTGCTGGCTGTCAGCGCACGCCGGGGCGCGGCAAAAGGAATTCTGTACCTTTCTAGACTCACGTGTTTTCTTGTGAACTAACAATATAATTTGCATCAATTTTATCACACACATCGCCCTGACGCATACGACGGTCCCATTACTGTCTTCAGTACTGTCTTACATATTTTGATATTTTTATTCCATTTTATAAAAAAGACGTATTTTCAAAAAAAATCAGCATTTTTACTTTCTCGTATACATACGTATATATTTGTCTGAGTATATACATAGTATAGAGAACGTTATTTCATGCTGCCCAAAAAAGGCCTTTTTCGGCAGAAAAACTCATTGCCGGGTCTTGCTAACGAAAAAGTATATAAATCCAGTGGCTATATTTAGGGGGAAATCCTCTGCCCCGTGGTTTTGCCTTGTTTTGTTGGTCTTTGATACCGAATAATCAAAGAACGCCAAAACGTCGTCTGTCTGTGAACACTACTAATGCTTAAACCGTACGTACGATTTTTTTCGAAAATGTGTATTCCCGGTCGATCTGGCGCAACTCGAGGCGCTGCGATTTTGGAAAACTTTCTTCAAAATTTGGGGGTACTTTACATGAAGTCACCCTCGCCAGTTATTTTCTTATTACTTGTCACTATTAAATGTGCGACATAGTAATAGAAATTGTACAGAAGTTAATGTTATGTAATGGTCCGGTTAATATATGATTTATGAGACAGTTGTTGCTGTTTTGTATCAACATTTTTTTCATGCATCAGAATCCAGTTTCTTGTTAGGTTATCTTATGTGTAATGTGTCAAAAGTCTGTTTTGAATGTATTTTTCAAATCTAACAAAAGATGGCACCCACAAAGGGTTAAGTGCAGTGACTCCGAAAATTACTGGGACGAGTCGCGATTTCCAGGTCCAGGCGCAATAACGTTAATATGAGGAAATAAAAAACTAGAATTATTTGCATAATAATAGTGAGACATAGCAACAAAGAAACGTAAATGAACAACAGCTTATGCGAAAAGGATCTGTTTGTCCTTGCACACAAAAACAATAAGGTCCTAATAATGTCAACAAAATTATTGGGACGATGCCCACAATGCAACTAATACCAGGAGACTAAAATAAAATTAATATGTTGTGCTCATCTCTTTCATTTTGATTCCTTTAATCGGTTTGGAATGCTTTCCACAAGTCAATGTAGTCGGAATTTTTCTTCTCTCCTCTATCAACCTGCGCTTGAGTTCTACTTTATTGCAAACAGATGATTTTCGTAATTCTGTCTACCATTGTCCACAAATTTGCAATTGGATTCAAGTCCGGGTTCTGAAATGGAGGATGAAGCACTTTTAGGCAATTGTAAAGCAACCGCAACTTCAAATGCACCGTGTTTTTTTGGGTCAGGATAGAAACAAAATGCTCCAGCAATGCGAAAATTTTCCGCACCTTTTTTAAGATTCTTCTTCGGAATATCCCTGGTCCATTGTGTCATTCTAGTTCGCCGACACCATTTGCTGCCATACACCCCCACACTTTAACATGTCTACCACCGAGTTTCACTCACCTCAAATTCTTGCTCTGAAGCTTTTGATATGGTTGCCTCCACACCATGCTCCTTCCATCGGAATGTTGTACTCTCGTCTGCAAAGATAACGTACTGCCACACATAATTCTTTATCCTTAAAAACATGTTCCTTAGCACTAATATTTTCCATTGGTTCATCTTGCTGATGAACGGTTTGCGGTTTCGGAATTCACCTTTCCCAGTGTCGCTTCTACTTCCGATGATATTTGCAGAGCTAATTACATTGGATTTTTTCACCTTTCTCACAAAGATTATTTCCTCTTGGATAGAAAACAGTCGAGTTCGACCTGAAGGTAGGCGGTATTCCAGTCCGTCTTCGTCTCGGATTCACCTGATCACATTCCACACCGTGGACTTCATCTGCAACTCTTCTTCTATTCTCCTAAACGTTTTCAGCTTTTTCCTTTTGCATGATAGAAAACCAACCGTCGAAGATCAAAACTAATACTTTTTACTCGGCGACCCATTGTTGTCGCGAGTGTTTGTTTCTCACGGACTAACAGTTGTAGCAGGAATAGAGTCCTATTCATTTTTAGTTGAATTGATATTTACTGCCCTCTGTGTTAAATTATACGTTGACAAATATATGACATCAATTAACATCCCAATAATTTTATTGACGTTGGATTTTGCGATGTTCCCTGCAATAACAGTTTTCTCTACATTTTCAGTCTACCTTGCTTTGTCCAAAACTCATAATTATCGCAATGATGTCCTGACAGCGCGATGTACTAATTCTGCAACAGTAAAGCGCATGTTATCTTTAATATTTCGCCAGTCCCAGTAATTTTGTGAGCTTAGTACAATTTATATTTAAATGAGATTCTGATATGAATCCAGATATTTAATATTTATATCATTAATACTTATTTAAGCAAAGGAATGTAAGAATTCTTACGACCATCGATTGTCGAAGGAAATACATTGTCTCCTGATTCATTTCCAAATTCCCTGATACCACTGAATGTTTTTATTTTATATTTTCTGCAAGATCGACTGTGTGTTTTGCAGGTACACATTGCAGGCTTCTACTTTCCAAATGGCTGTTCTTCTGCAGTATAATGTTAGTGAATCTTGGACTGTACAACAGCTTCATGAATCCACCCAGATCAAACTTGATTTCCTTCTGCAAGTATTGCAGATTCTGATAAAAGCAAAGTTGTTGACTTGTGAAGATGACGAAAATGAGTTACACGCTAACTCAACAGTCCAGCTATTTTCAGGTTATAAGAAGTAAGTAGAAGAGTCATTCTCTTAAGCTTAGAAAAGGTGGTGGCACTCATTCCGTTGTCATTCTATTGCCATATGAAAATATAATTTTACCTCAAGATATAGGTGAGTGATGTGGAGAAACTTGTTCAAATATTTATTGTATACAATTGTTCAATGGAATTAAATTTAAATGTATAAATGATATAAAATGGCTGAGTTAGAAATGGGAAGCCGAGATCGCCTTGATTGTTTCCCGCTTCAGGTATAGGGCTCTCCTGACCGGGCTAGGTGGTGCAGGGGCTTTGGATGAATGCGCCCATCCGGGCTGTTGGTTTGAATAAGGCATGGATGTGTGTTGTGACATTATGGGAGGCACCCAACCATCATGTATCCTCCACTAAACCCATTTCGTTCCGACGATATTGATTCCTTCCACCAAACATGTTATCTGTCGCCAAAATGGACCTTGGGGGTACCTTGGCAATATTGCGTTCCAAAAATAATTATGGAGAAGATAACGGGCCAGCCAAGGAGGTGAAAGGTTCCATCCCAAAATAATAGAGACGAAGAAGAAATATTGACTTTGGGCGGGATGGATGGATGAATTGGAAATTGGCTAGAGCGTCCTGATTCTAAAAGTATACAATACAATGCCAACTGATGTCTTTGCAGGCAACCCTGACAACCAGGCTCAAGGATTCTAGTACCAACGATGGTGGAATTTTCGGTACTGGCTCAATAGCTGGGACGTGTTCAGCCGCGGGATGGAGTAGAATTTTAGCGGCCTGCTTTTCTAATTGGTAGTTTTCCGTGATTTCTCCTATCAATAACAGGCGAATTTCGGAGCAGCACCCAGTCACCGCGCGCGACTTTTTCTTGCTCTTCCTCGTCCTGTGTACACACATTTACTTGAACTACATTACCACACATGTCGGGAGATCAATCGGGTATGTAAAGCTTATCCCGGCTGGGTCGGTTCCCCGTTGTGGGAGATACCTGAAAGTTACCCCCGATAGCGATACGGGTAGGTCGACGCCGGATTTCAATTTACAGCTGAGGTGGATCGTTGCCACTTCCCGGGATAAAACGTTGATTACACTAACGGGACCAATGGCCAGAACAGTTTACATGTTCAGAAACATGAATTATAATACAGTAAAACCCCGCTTTTATGTTCACGCAATTTACGTTTTCCCGGTATTTACAACATTTCTTGTCGATCCCATCAGTTTTCATATATTCAAAATTATAAATACCCCGCATTAACGATAGTATAATTTCAATTTTCCCGCAATTTACACAGCTATTGCACTTTTCCACCACCTTGCCACGTTATAAATGGCCATAACAGAAAGACTTGAAATGGCGCGATATTATGAGTTATGAAATATTACATGAAGACTAGACTGTTTAAAAATAGTGTAAATCATTATTGAGCAGCTAGGCCTACACAAATTTTCATTTCATAATATTACAGACGTAATTTAAAAAAAAAAAGTATCAATGTGCATTGGTAGAAGAATAACCGTGCTTTGAGCATCACGTAACGCTGATGATGCCGGCTCATAATCAATACATTAAGACTTTTATTTAAATGTTTAAGAATATTTGTGTTATACAGAAATACTGTTGACAATTATCCAGATAATTTTCCTTCATTTTTCACATTTAATTCTTGAATTTCAGTAAAAAATTGCGAGTAAATATCAACATCCCCATGAAAACAGAACTTAAAGTTGAACAAGAAACAACTCATAAACACATAGAAGAAGATAGAAAACTTCTCATTCAAGCTGCTATAGTACGTATAATGAAGATGAGGAAGGTATTGAAGCATCAGCAGTTGGTAGCTGAGGTACTCAACCAGCTTTCTTCTCGTTTTAAGCCTCGAGTGCACGTTATCAAGGTAAAGTTTTCTATCATTTAAATGTTGGTCCACATTAACTGAAATGGGCATTTCTTAGGTTTAATATTGTAGCATGATATATTTATTATTTTCAAGGGATATCCAAGAGAGATTTTGCTGTTGAACTAAGACATAAGAATTTACAAAAAATGTATTTTGTTGCAAAATATGAACAATTATTTTCCACATTATTGCCATGATTCTTCAAGCATTTATCATTGTTGGTCACCAGAATTTATATGTCCTTATCTTAGAATGATATTATCTTCGATGCAATCCATGTAATAATTGTATCACCATTATGTCAATATTGTTGAACTTCCAAATAGAAAGACACGATTTTAGGAGGAGGACATATGAAATTATTGCTCGTGGTCAGTGCAATGTATGGTCTGTAAAGAGGATGGTAAAACTTCACCCCGGCAAATTCCTATAGGGGTTTGAGTCACATGTGCTGGGTGTGGGCAGGCACAGACGAACACAATGCTGCACCTAAGCCTACATTATTTATTCTGAATTTCATTTTTAAGGGTGTAATGGTATATGTTTGTGTGTATTGTAGCACCAAGAAGCATTAAGCTCTCCACCAAGATGCCATTTCTGTCCCAAAACTTAGTGCATGTGATATGTCAATGTTGGGTTTGTCTTTGTTAGCTATGAAATTAATTGATGGTCTTTTTACATTCTGGCATTTCATTGGCCACGTAGGTCTGAACTTAAGTGACTACAGCACAAAAAGTAGTTTGCAAATCTTTCTATGCAGAGTCAAAACTCAATTTGACAGGTCTGTTATTGCATTTTTTTGTTGCTCCATCAAAACTTTTGACACTCAATGAGCAAACAGTTTTTGAAAGTGAAGATTTTCTGAAACAATTAATTGCTCAAGAGAACATATAATTTGTAAATAATGTGGGGTCAATGTAATTGTTAATATGTGGTTTTCTTTAAATATTTCTTCAACTGCAGGCACTAAATCACTGAAAATAGGTTCCCACTTCGTTGTTCATTGTGGGCATTCTCAAGTCCTTCATTGAATAATAGTACCCTTTCTTGAACAATTATATTTTTTCCATAGCTTCCATAAAGGATATCCTCAGATAAGGTGGTAAAAAGTTCCTTAAAAGCTAATGATGCACAAGTAGTTTAACTATAATTCTAACATACAATAAAGATTTTCAAAGAGTTTCTTAGATCTGTTCCACCCACCACCAGCACCCACCTCCCCTGCACAGCAAAAAGAGTTGTTTTTTTAATTTTGATTTTTTTCGTCAACTTACCATGATTTCATACGTTTGAAAAATAAGAAAATAATGTATATTATTAGAAAAACATTTTTTGATATTTTCTGTGTGCCAAATTCAAACGCAAAAATAACAAAAAAATAAATATTTACTGTCTTAAACCCCTGGAATCTGCACGAGAAAAATCTTCATACTTCCTTTAGAATACTAATTGTTCTTAATTTTTTTTTTCGAAAGCTGGGCTGTAGAAAAAAAATGAAAGTGTTCTGTACATGTATTCTAATGTTACTATCGTGTTCCAGTATCTATGTCTAGAAACATGGATATAAATACTAACATACTTTCTCTTTACAGAAATGTATTGATATCCTAATTGAGAAAGAGTACTTGGAGCGCACAGAGGGTCAAAAAGATACGTACAGTTATCTGGCATGATTACTCAGCCAGGCTGTGTCCAAAAGCCAACAACATTCACAAGTGCAATCATCGGAAACAGCATTCAACTCCGTTCCTGCCAGCATCAGCAACAACCAACACTAAGATCTAGTTACCTGCCTCAACAAAGCAGTGTAGTGTTTGGTGATTGTCAACCATAAAACAATACCAACATTTTACATTTCTTTGTCTTTGTCATTATTGAGATTTAAAAAGAAAATCTCAATGTATTGGAGTACTTGCCTCCACTTATACATCATGAACTGAATCTCGATCAATTAAAATTTCATGTAGTGGAATTTTTCAATGTTCAATGGGTCTAAAATGAAGGAATACAATAAATGTCAATGTGGGAACACAGGATTTCTGTGGTATGTGTTTAGTGTATTGTTTCTGAAGTATTGCATATTGTGATAGTAGCAATGTGCAATTTGATGTGATAAATTTTTGTTTCATTGTTCAATCAGTATATCCTCAAGGTGAGGAAAAAGTTTTGCATGGTACTTTGCAGAACATTACTGATAATTACTAAGTGATAAAATGATGAATACAATGTGATTGTGTGAGTGAAAAGATTTATCCAGAGCTTCTTCAAGGAACATATCATTTAAATGATATGTAATTGATCATTCAATTCTGTTGGGCAGAATTACTTAATTTCTTCTATCTGCCTACTTGGGATTTGAGAAAGTAATATCTTTTGTGTATGTAGTTCACAATGATTTATATGTGCAATTCTTGAAGTTCCACTGCTACTTGATGTCAATTTCCATTTCAAAATTTGATGTTCCTTCCCATAGTATCCCATTGGGTGTTGAGGAGCTCCCTCAACAGAACTTTTGTCTGCCTGGCATGCTTTTTGCTTCCATTGTGCATATCAGCTTTACTTGTGATCGTTTATCAATGGTTCATATCCAAAGTATGTATCCATTATGTTACATGGAACATTGAGCTGCCCCTCCCCAAACCTGCCGTTTGGAACAAAAAGCTGGTTTGTCTGAGTGGGAAACCAAATTCATGTGTGTTTGACAAGAAAAGATTTATTTGAATGTTAATATAGGTAAAATTCGCTAAACTATTGTAAATATTGCAACTATAACTATATCATTGTCAATAAAAACATTTTGTTAACAAATATATTTTTAATTCTTTACCTTTCTCTCTGACCTTTCTTGTATTCCTAGGAGTTTTTATTTTAAGTCCCTTAACCCGGAATATGGAAGATGTCTTGCACTATCAGTTGCATGTTGGATTTTGTCTATCGCCCGATTTTTGTTTCAAATACACACTGTTATCCAGTTTTTTGTTAATACTTATTGATGTTTTATTGTAGATCGTTCTACCTATTTTTACTCATAATTAGTATTACACGTTGGAGAACATAATAAGTATTGCTTTTGCACATGAAGCAGAATGCAATACAAAATACAGTAAAACCTGGATAAGGCGAAAACCTATCTTCGCTGAAAAATCTCAGAACGGACCTTTTTCCAATGCAAAGTACTCTGGGTAAGCGGGAAACCTGCTTAACGCGGAAACGGAAAGGAATTTCTAGAACGACAGTATTAAAAATTTTGGATTACATGGAAAACAAATATTGTTTTAAAATAAACATTGACGTGTGATGGCGACTACATGCCGCGAAACACACACAACTGTGCTCGCCCATATCTCAGCTACCGTCCGAACATCGTATTTCCCGCACGACTCTTGCAAATGCCGTTGTTTGTAATAGCACTGACCTTTAAAGGCACTAGTAAAGGAAGGGTAGACGCGAAGAATGGTCGTTCCACTGTTCTTGCAATGCGTGCTTTGGGTTGAGTGGCTGTAAACGTTTACTGTTGTTAAGTTCTACGAGTTGCAGGTGTTGTGTTAATCAAGTGATTATGATGTTTGACCTCAAATTGAAACGTTAACTCTTGGTGAGAGAATTAGGCCCCTGAGTAAAGAACACGAAAAAAAACGTCTCGCAAGGTTTTGATAAGGAAATTTAAAGTTGGGAAAACTCAAATTTATGACACCTTGAAAACAAAGACAAAATCAAACATGAGTGGTTAAAAGATTTTTTTAGGCAGCCAACCTAATAATGCCCACGCGCTGAACTCCCCTGATGTTACGGGAGAAAAGGCCAGGGACTTTGCCTGTGGAATGCGATCAGAGCGGTCAAGCAGCAGTCCAGGCAGACGGAGGCGCCGTGCCACTATCCACGAATGATAGCGGCCGCCCGGCGGGTAAGTATAAAAGCGATTCGTACATTCCAGCTAGCCCCCCCCCCCAGCAGTACATTCACCCCGCTATCCCATCTCCACCTCCACCCATATCCAGACCATCAACGCCAATGAACATTATAGTCTAAAAGCAACCTATCCGTTAACACCACCCAGTCAGCAGAGGTAGGCCCAATAGTGGTCACCCTCTATGCCCAGATGAGAGAGATCATTACAACATATACTCACGTAATACAACGGGATGACCACCCAGATACTAACATATTATCTCAACAAACCGTAACATCCCCCCAAATAAATCCTCTGATCACGCTGCCAGGTATTATCCCCGACCCATGCGACCCCACCACTGTCAATAAAATTTTAGGAATACGACTTTGTAAACCTCAGCCCAAAAGAAGGCCCACCCACAGCACGCCTGTCCAAAAACGCACACACCTAACAGAGGACATCAGCCCTATTATTGAATGTGTAATCATTGATGAATCCGAGAAGATAGACCGATTACACCACTGATAGACTTAACAGGACGAAGTACGCCTTTCTATAGGCGATCAGTATTGAAAATATCCACTGACTCGCCAAAAAGGAGACATACCCGACCTGCTTGACACCCCCATAAGAACTGAATACCAGTTGCCCTGCCAAACAACGCCGCCTCGCCAATACCTACAACCTAGTGACTCAAAGACACGACAGCCCAAAAACATGCACAGGCCACTAAGTGAATACTCGCCAGGACCCACACACGAAGGCATGCAATGCGGTCTAGACAAGGAAGATGAGACAAGCCGCCCCTCCAAGTAGTTATATTCCTCCCAGACCCTCCAGACATGTTTTTGCCCGTGCTGCCCTCGAAATTACCCGCCGCTGCTACACAGCAAAGATCTAGGGGAGAGAGTCAGGATGATGGAGAATCACGTATGGGACAGGGAGCGACGAAGGTCCATTATCCGCTGCCGTGGCTGCGGAGATGTCAACGACCGGTGCCACATCAAGAAATTCCTGTTCCTTAAACATAAGCTGACCACCTTCACGAACCGCCCAGCAAGATGGTGATACGAAGCCGGACCCGCCCGTGACACCAATGGCAGGCTCATGCGTCCGGCGCTGGAAAAGCATAGAGTAATCGTCCCCATCCCGTCAAACGAAGTGCTGGCATGACCGATTTATGACGGAAGAATATCGAGCGCGATAGCAGAATTTAACCGAAGATTCTCACTAAAAAACACCTCTCCAGAGCACATGGAGTAGAAGAAGTCGCCTTCATATGCGGAGGCTGTGGCACTGAGGTCAGAGACTGGAGGTCACATAAGGAGTATGAAACGTAGAAATATTGCTCCCACACACACGCCGCGGGAAATAATGCCGGCCCGCTGCGCGCACCGCGACTGTGAGCTCCTTTTCACAACAGCCAAACAATCTGCCCTCCATTTTCGAGTACACGCCACGGAGCAGAGACGACAAAGAGCGGATACTAATAAGTTTAAAGCCAGTGCAAGACGTGAGAGGATACTCCAAGCTATATTCGGACCGAAGAGTATGCACCCGACAGTGAGAACGAGGAAACTGAGGGAAACGATAGAAGCGGCTGCAACAGAGAATCCAGAGAGGAACCCCCTGCCCCTCCACTGGCTGACACGTAGAAGGCTGATCAAGAGAGCACCTTGAGGCCACAGCTGAATGCCCTGCAGCAACAAGATGTTGATCCAACAAAGGCAGCACATCAGCAGGTGGACAAGGTTACACACTACATCCCGGCCTCGCAAACACGAAAGAGGAAGGTGACCGGAAGCAGGAGTACGCCCACCGACGAGTAAAGCCACTAGAACCTTTTTTAACTCGGCACTATCCCCAGAAGAAGTGAACCGGATACGGAACCAACTGACCACCAAGGCCCCCCCCAACGTTGTAATGACAGAAAGGGCGCACGCAACTGGGCAGCAAGGTGGAAAAAAGCCCAAAGGGCCACCGCCCCAACTGAGCGGCAGAAGAGTGAAACAAATCACCACACAGGCAAGGATTCCCCGATACGGATAGAAACAAGGCGGGTTTGGATGAAATAACAAAGAAAGAAGAGACGTGAGAGGGGCCAACACAAGGAGCCCTCTGACACACGAGACTCCACTGTCCATTCCGACCCCCCTGCTTGCCTAGCAGCAGAAACCGGAGCCGATCTGAATAGATTCGCACAACAAACTCCCCCGCAGCCACACACAATGCCTCCATAACACAGGAAGCTGACCTTACCTCATCCTCCCGCACGGGTGAGGAAGCCAGGCCGGAAGGGCCGCTCAGAAGACCAAGGGGCCAGAGGCCAACGCGCACCTATGAGTGAACCGAGAGACTGCCCAGCGCCTACGAGACCGCAGACGCATACAACTCAAATGACTTCTACATAACAGAAGAAAGACCAGAATATCTATATAACCGGCTGATGGAAAGCCTGCAGGAAACCGCAAAGATAAAAATACCCCCGAGCGAAGCACCAAAGCCAACTACGGCAAGAAACCGCCAACCACCGATCGCAAATAAACACAGAATTAGAAAACTTATGCATCTCAAAGACGTAAGGCGATGCGGTGAATTGCTGGGAGTGACGGAGAGCAATGCATGCTACCCATTGCTGATATCGAAAACACACGATAAACTACCGTCCAGCTATGACCGAAACATTTATGAGGAAGTCACAGGGAGGGAGCCTGTCGACTACAGAAACTTTTCTCAAGGAGAAGTGCTTCTAAGACTATCAAAGGCGGAAAACACTGCGCCCGTTGAGGATCGAATCACGTATAACCACCTACGACAACTGGATACGGAAGCAAAAATCATAACAGCAATGTTTAATTTGATAAAACAGGCTGGCAAAATCCCTGATGCGTGGCGGCGGTGACGCACAATCGTGATATTTAAAGGAGGCAGAGAAGGCTTAGCTAACTGGCGGCCAATCACCCTGGCGCTGAGAGGTGCCCTCTCCAGCGCAGAAGAAATTCCGACCGTTCGATGGGGTATTGGAGCATAATTACGTGCTGCAGCGTCAGAGAGATCGGGCGAAGGCGGGCAAGCGCAATCTAGCTATAGTACTCCTTGACCTAAAGAAGACTTTGGTTCAGTGCCCCATGGAGCAACCCGCGTAGCCCTGAAAGCGGTGGAAACTGGAGAAGAGTTAATCAGAATCGCGGAAGACATTTATATGAACACATTCACCGTAGTTCTGGCGGCATAGGGACGGACCGACCCCATCCCGATAACAAGGGGTACGCGCTAGGGATGCCCATTAAGCGTGGCACTTTTCAACTTGGTGTTTGATGCCTCAATCAGAACCGCAGCGGCTGCCTCGAAGAGTCCCACTCCCATTCTTGCGTATGCTGACGACATTGCATAAATGACAATCAGCAGGGAAGAACCTTAGTAAACAGTGAATGTCGTCCAGGATAAGCTGCAGAATGCACAAATGTTGATGAGTCCACAAAGTACTTAGGATTCCCGGTGGGGTTTAGTGAAATTGGAGACTGGACAGGGCTCAGAGAACCGGAAATCGTTGCGAGTCAAATAGCAGATTCATGTCTATACGAATGGCAGAAGCTGGATGGCCTCTGCCAGTTCGTTCCACCCACAATTATTTTTCCACTGAGGATGGGAAGGTATTCCAAAAATAAACAATGTAATGGACACGGCGAATAGAAGAAACGTGAAGGAGTTTCTCTCTACGTGAACGCGCATCATCCTCCTTTATCTACTGCCACAGGGAGGATGGAACTATCGGAATTCAATGCTTGAGCGCGGAGGCAGACTTCTGGGCAGTCGACTCTGCGTT